CCTAAACACTTCAGTATCTGTTTCCTAAGAACATCCTCTTATAATAAAATACAGTACACTTATCAAAATCTGGAAATTTAACCTTGATATAATACCGTTTCCTAACCCATATACAAATGTGTCCATTGTCTCAATAATATCTTTTGTAGCTATTTTTTTCTCAGCCCAGTATCTGATCCAAAATCACACATTCCACTTAGTTTTCATGTCTAATTAGCCTCATTTAATCTGGAATAGTTCTTTAGCCTTTCTTGTTCTTTTTGACCTTAACATGTTTTGAAGAGTAGAGGTCAGTTACTGTGTAGAGGAGCCCTCCGTTGGGGTTTGTCTAATATTAGATTGTCCAGTTATTAGTTTGTGATGATTAGATTGAGGTTTTGCAGTTTTGGAAAGAAAGCCATGGAAGGGAAGCTGGGTCCTTCTTGGTGGACCGTATCAGTCGGCCCATGTGGACCACATCAGTAGGGCCATGAAACCAGTTTGTACAAATGTTACTAAATTTTTACTTGGTTAATTTATGTCCACCATGTTTCCCCACTGTAAAATGACTGGTTTTCCTTTGCAATTAAACTGTAATTTGTGGGGAAATACTTTGAAACTGTGAATATCTTGACTCTCCTCAAATTTTCCCTCCATGGTTGTAGTGTCCACTATTCCATTCCTCCACATTTATTAGTTGGCATTGTGCTCTAAGAACAGCTTTCTTTTTAAGAAAAATTTTTTCTTTATTTTTAACTTCTGTTAATTTGAACTCATCGATTCTTATTCAAGGAGTTATATTCCATTCTGTCGTTAATTGTTTTGATTCTTGAATTATTCTAGATTTGCCCTGCTGGGTTCCCTACAAACTACTCCTCTGGGCTGTTTGTTTGTTTTTTTGGTTGGTTGTTTCTTTTTTGATGTTTTCATCATTCTTTGAGAATTTCTTACTCTCTGGTGTCGTAAGATGTTCTAGGTCCTCTCTCACCCAGCCCGGGACTCAGCCTTTTTCTAAGGTGCCCGATTCCTTTTAGTGGTGAATGGTGCTCTACAACAAGGATCTGGGTGTGGGTGTGCTCATTGCTCTTAATGTATCATCCATTGGTTCCAGATCCTTTCAGGTCTCACATCTCAGACTGAGCGAGGAGATGCGGTGCGCATGTGTGTGCGTGCGTGTGTGTGTCTATGTCTATATCTAGGTCTAAATTAAAGTTCTGTGTCTAAATTAAGAGGTTTGTAGTAATTATTCCGGTTTAAATCCAGCACCCCATAATTCATTTCAGTCTTTCTCCATATTTATGACTCCATTCTCCAACAGCGAAAAACATGGCTTTATGATACTGTTTTATGTCCCTAGTATCTTGTCCAAGCCTTGGCATTAAGTGATAAATAAATGTCTTACAAATTTAAATAAATGAGTAAATTAAATAGCCCCGGTGTTATCTGCGTAAACACCCTCACTGCTGAGACCAGTGCCTCTCATGAGTTAGATACTGAATAAAACTTTGTGGAACAAATGGTTCTTCTCTCTCCAATATCTTTATTTTTTATTTTTGAACCACAGGAAACATGACTCCATATGAGTACTTGTTATTTATTTATTTATTTTTACTATTTAAAGCATGAATCCAGATAAATTATTCAGTGACCACAAACAGTCTTTTCTGCACTAAGAAAAAATTATAAATAAAAATAAAATTGCAAGACAGGAAAAAAATAGTTCCTTTGTTTTGTCCCCAAACCCCTCGGCTATGGGCGGCACCACTGAAAAGTCTTCAGTATTTCTAATGACAAAAACCGTGGCTTGCGGAGCTCGTCTGGCACAGTTTTCCCGTTTGTCAGCTCTGGCGAAGTGAAATGTGTTCTTCATCTGAGCTCCCTTCCTATCCTGCTGCTGCCAAGGCCAAGGGAGACTCCGCTCACTGCTGCTTATTATTAAGCTGCTGTAAACAAGGAAGCTTGAGGATAACTTACTTATGAGCCAGCGGCTAGAAATTTTTGATAACCTGAAGGCTCATTGCCAAATTATATTATTCCCTTTGTAGGTAATCTGAGGAAAACAGTAGCGCTGCATTCACCTGTGCCCTCGAAGGTTATAGATTTACAAGTCAGGACAGCCATTAATGATGTTACTTCTTGAAGTGGATTTTTTTCCTGAAACCTCAGGAAATGGGATCTACTTTTTCTCTCTGATGTAATTAAAACGAACAGCTTCTTGCTCATGAACTCTTAGTTCTTCTGCAGCAACTTGCTTAAAACTACTCTACTATATTTTTGCTTTTTAAATTTACCTAACGTATGTGAAATAGAGCATATACATTGTAACTTCTAATACAGAATTCAAAGAAACGAGGTCTTTTACTGGACAGAAAACAAAGTCTTAAGTTCAGTAAGATTTTCCACAAAACTGGCTTGGAATTCATTTTTGTTTGAAAGACGTTTTCCTTCAACATAGCTTCTTTAACCCTTTATGGGAACACTTAGCTTAAATTCTCCCCCATGCTGATAAGGGGGTGCCAGGAGCCTGCATCTTTTAAAAGGAATGGAAAAATCAGGCACTGAAAGCCCTTCGGCCTGGAAAGCCTTTCCTGTTTGGAGAAAAAGACTAAGTATCACTTGATGTAAATCACCTTATCTTCCACGACTACATTTTTGAAAGCAAAGTTCTATGGCTTCCTATCCTTTAAGTATAGTTGTATGCAGCTAAAACCCCTCAACTGTTGAGTAAAGATACTTTGCGGGGTGTGGGGGCGGTGGGAACCAGGTCCTCTGCTGCCTAGTTTGTCTCAGTGCCCCGCCCTCAGTCAGCCTGGTGTTACTGGTTTTCCACACACACACATACAACATTAGCTGGTAGAGGCAGGTGGGTGTACTGCCAAATTTCCAGAAACGTCTCTGTGCTTTTAGTCAAAGTGATGTTTTTGTTTTCTGTTTGAATTTCCACTTAGGGCCCTCTCTTTGGTTTTATAACATGGTATCTTTCCTTGAGGAGAACATCTCAGGAACGTAACTCATGTGAGGTGTAGGAAGCCCTCATGTGTATTTATATTTATATATGACATGTTTATATGTAGCTGAGTGAGCTACATATAAATGGAGGGATAACTGGGCTGCTAGACTTAATTATGTCATGGAGTGGGACTTAGAGTAATTAGTAACTCTTCATTTATCGTTACATTGTTTAATTTGTTTTGGGAAGCATCATTTTTGTTATTAAAGAGATCTAATAAATAAAAATTCAAGTCAATCTGTAGCTTTGTGTATTTATGATTCTTGTTTTTTTTTTTTTTAAGATTTTATTTATTTTTAGAGAAAGGGGAAGGGAGGGAGAAAGAGAGGGAGAGAAACATCAATGTGCGGTTGCCTCTCACATGCCCCCTACTGGGGACTCGGCCTGCAACCCAAGCATGTGCCCTGACTGGGAATCAAACCAGCGACCCTTTGATTCATAGGCTGGCGCTCAGTCCACTGAGCCACATCAGCCAGGGCTGATTCTTTTTTTAAGGAACTCAAAACAGTGAAGTCAGTTAATAAAATTTTTCATAGAAGAAAAATACAGGTTATCTGGCTACTGATTGGCTCAACTCTGGTCATTTCTAATACCTTCCATTTCTTCAGTGATAATATTTATACAGAAAGGAACATCTTGAAGATAATTTTTTGATGTGATTTCCTTAAGATCAAACTTTTCAAATGCTCATATTCATCATTCACATCATGTTATGCATTTTTTCATCTTATTTTATTTCAGAAATCTTCTGTATTTGGCAATAAATTAATTAAACTGGTATAATTGCCAATGAAAGATGAATATTGTTTCCACGTGAAACCAAGGCTAATAAATTCTCATAATGCCTTTGATTTAATTAAGACTCAAACCTTCCTTTGCCAAGAAATGAATTGCTTCATGTAATTACAGTTTCTTTTAAAAAGGGAACAAAATAAATTCTGTGCATTTTGTGAATTTTCGTAAGTTCTACGGCTCTGAGCCTTCATTAGCTCCAAATAAGTATAAATGTCCTTGTATTTTTCCAACATTAGGGGTGCCCGAGGCCCTGAGAGGTTGTTTGTTTGTTTTAAATCACAGGTACTAATAAAAGAAAAATATTTTTGAATGTAAATATTTACTGGGAGTTTCTTAATCATAGGTTTCACATAGCACTAACAAAGCAGTTCTTCACATAAAATATAAAAATGAGTCAATTTTAAAAACGTAAGAAAAATGCCAGCAACAATTTGAGTGTATTTGGGATTGAGAAAACAAAATACTGACCCTTTTCTTAGTTAAGGCCTTTGTGTTTTATGTGATCAGCTGCTCTTCTGGCAAGCTTTTATTTTTTTCATTAAAGTAGTACCAAATTAGTATCTTTAAAAGACCATGAAATTATAACCAAGCATTACGTTTTAACAAGAGAATTCTTTCTCCCTGAGAAGCTGGTAAAGCTTGTAGGAATCGCCGCCATCTGACCTAAAAGCTCATGATAAGTTTAAGGATCCGTTGATTCAGGCTACAAAAGAACAAAATAAATTATACACGATGAAATGACTGTAAAGAAAAATAGAAGGATCTTATCTTCTCCTCTTCTCCTCGACCTTTTCTACATTTTGAGAGATGTAACTTACAGGCAACTCAATATGCCTAGGAGCCTTTCAAATGAAACTACTAAAGTTGACCCTTCATGAAGAATTCTGACCACCTCTTACACCTGCTATGGTTAGAGCTCTAAGTGAAAATTGTATGATTAGCAGGTGAAAGGAAATCATTCGTGTACTAATTTTGGGAGTGGGAAAAGTGAAGATAGACAACAAGAGCATTTCAGGCTTATAATGATATGGGGCCTTTGGGTCTTTTAGCTTGGGCCTTACATTCATGGAGGGCCATAAATTTAAATTTTTTATATTATCCCCAATTAAAGTTGTGTATACAGTTGTATGTTTTGATTTTTTTCTCCATGTTAAAAACACTACACTGTAGAGTATATTATAATTTTAACTATTTTGACTTTTTTTTCCTTTTCTAGGAGCATAAAAGAGTGGAAATGGTTGGAGCATCTCTTGGCCTCTTAGAGAGGCGGAACATTTTAGGTAGGAAATAGCATCAGAAGACATTAATTCAGTGCCTGCTATAATGCATTAAAAGAGTTTTGGATCTCACTATTGCATTTTTAAGATAGGCCTAGGATTCGAAAGTGTCCCCCTTTCTTACATGTAACTTCTTCCTCCAGCCTGAAAGAGAGAACCTGGCTGTCATTATAATATGTTTCCTTATTTGTCACTCCTCGCATACATAGAAAACAATAGTTTCTCCCGGGGGACATTTTTTGCACTGTCTGGAGATGTTTTTGTTGTCACAGCTCAGGTGGGGGAGGGCTCCTGGCAGCTGGTGGGTAGAAGCCGGGGATGCCCTGAACGCCGCCCCCAGGCCCAGGACAGCCCCCCGCGAGGAAGAACTCCACGGTCCCAAAATCCAGTAGTGGCCAGGCTGAGAAACCGCGACATGAAGTCATCTCAGGATTGCTAGCCTGCGTCCCCACGACAAATACATCTTCTAGCTCGGATATAGTATTTGTATACAGTTTTTCCCTTGAGCCTTCTAGTATTCGGTCAAAACACTGTTTGTTATTCCACACGTATTAGGATGAGTTCTCTCCTTCTCCACCCCCTTCAATATACTTATGTCATTTACAATTCAGTCAGGACCTTTTGTTGCTGTTTTTATTCAGTTTGGGGTTTTAGTTATTTGTTTATTGGGAGTGTGTGACATGTGATTCTAAGAGTCAGACCGGTACAAAAAGGGATCCTCAGAGAAGTGGGAATCCATTTTTTAGAAGTTCTCCTGATGATTCTGATGTTCACCTGCTTTTCAGAGCCGCCGGTCTAGCTCATGGGCTTTGAGGTCAGACCTGAATTTAAATCCAGTTTCTTGTCAGGTATGTCCTGTTGGGTAAGTTACTTTCTCTCTCTGGCCTTCCTGCCTCTTCTTCTAAGGGTCGCTGTGAGGATATGCAGATACACACGCTGTTTGTCACCATGGCAACCCAAAGTGGGAGCCCAATTGATGGTTGTTTTCATTCTTTCATTTATGCATGTGGCTGCTGTTAACTGTGCCTTTGCATAGTTCTTATTATAGGGACTTTTAGCCATTTTGCAGAAAATACAACAACCATTTCTTACAGTGATATGCAATATAAGAGATTAGGATAATAATGAATCATGGTTTTTTGGAAGCTTTTCCCTAGAAAGCCTAACTAGTGCAGACTGTGTAAGAATCTCTTATGTGAACTCTCATGGCAACAAAATAGAGAGAGAAATAGATAGTTACGTGTCTCTGCTTTTCTCAGATATAAGTCATTTCAGGCTTTTAAAAATGACTGGATATCAGATCGTTTGCAGTTGGATTCTCTAGCAGTGAAGGCTGGCAGACAGGCGCTCAGTGTTCTTCCGTACTAGACATTTAAATGGCGCCCTGATATCTGCGCATATTTTAGAACAGCGTTTCTCAGTTTTAACGTGTACACACAGCACCTGCAGGGGGAGGGGCATCTCATTCAAAAGCAGATTCCGAGCCAGGCTGGAGCCGCCCGAGAACCCGCATTGCTACGGAGCTCCCAGCAGGCGCGGCTGGTTGTGGGTCCCCGTTAGAGTAACAAGTGTTTATTGCCCTGACTTTGAAATCATACTCTCTGGCTTTCAAGCCCAGTTCTTCAACTTCTTAGATATGAGCCTGTTTTTAATGACTAATTTCACTCTGTGTGCATTTGGTACCTTGAGGTATTAGCTGCTGATGTCACTTCTTTGTAGCATTTGGGCATTTTAAATGAACACTTAGTACGAGAAGACAGACCTCTAAATGAGTGAAATCAAAGAACATGTGTCAGGACAACGCAGCTAAAGATGCCTCTGTTCGTTTGGATCTACATATTATTTGTGAGAGTTTTTCCCCAGTGGTAGAGCTACTAACCACTTAAGTACCCTGAAGGTAGAACCAGATTTGCAAATCTCTTTATCCCAAAGGGTTAAATCAAAATTTAGAAAGAACATGTATAACAACATTGCTCTCACTATATTAATATAGTGATGATGAAAATAGTTTTAGTGAAATAATTTTTGGACCATTAATACGTAAATAGAATACTTTCATACGTTATTTACTTCATGTGTCCTTTTGTAATTTCTAATCTGTGGGTGTTTGAATTTACCTAGTTTCTTGGTCTAGGAACACATTTCTGTAATTTATATTCCAGATTGGGGGTGAGGACGGCTTTGGTCGGGAGGGCGGACAAAAGAAGCTGCGATCCTGCCGCCCTTTGGCACAGAAAAGATGCCTTTCTTTAGGAAAATAATCGAGGGCCGATGGCAATAGCTCTGGGGAGGAAGACCTTTCGGGGATACCGCCCCAACTCAGATCGCGGGGCTGATTCGCAAATCCCTTCTCTGTTCCCCACCATGATTTCCTGACACGGAGGACAAAGGGAGCGAGGCCACGGGGAATATGAGTACGGGGTGCTGAGGGGACCCCGGGGACGGGAGGCCGAGCCGTAGTCTGAGGTTTGTTAGCTGACACCCCGGGCGACAGGAGCAGCCTCCCCACCTGCCAGTCTGCTATCAGACGCAGGTATTCATGCGTTCAAAAATGTTTATGGAGCCCCTGCCTGCTCGGCGCATTAAAATGACACTGGGAAAGTCAACAGAGCGCCCAAACTTATTTGCAGACAAAGCTCTGGAGACTGTTCAGAGACGTTTAGATCGCTCTGGTGGATGATACCTGCACTTCTTCCTTCAGGGGGATTAGCTTCGTACAGGAGACGACGGAGCACCGTTGTGGCTGGCTGGGAGCCAGCCCTTTGAAGTTCCTCCCTGGCACAGACTAACCCTGTCACTTCCAAAGGTATGGGGGGCTGGCGTGTGCTTTGATGTCAGAAGCGCTTTGCGAGGGCATCTTATGCTGCCTTCCCTTTGAAGCAGAGACTCAGGGCAGCCTTCGCTTACACAGGGCCAACCGTCTGACCTAAGAAGCCTGGAAAGAAAAGTCCTTTGCCAAAAGGGACTTGAAAATAGCTCCAAGTGATTTGAAACATTACGTCTGCTGAGAGAGTTTCCAGGGAGATCAGTTGGAGTTAATCTGGTTTACCTAAAGGCAGAGGATTAGATGTTCAAAACGGTTCCTGATGGGAATTTGCAGGCCGAGGGAACGCGTCTCTCTGAATTCTTCGGGCATAGGCACGTGTAACTGCAGACGCTTCTGGGAAGAGCCAGTTTATTGCTCAATACACAATGGTCCATAAACACAAAGTGTGTAGTTGAGATATTTTTAAAAGCCAGCTCTACAGGATTTGGAGCGGGGGAGAAATAGTCGCAGAAGCTGAAGGATTGGTTTCAGAGATAGCATGTTATCAGGTTTCTTCTGCACTGTCAGGTTAATGGGAAAGTTGGAAACCGAAAGCTGGCGTGCATTGGCCCCGGACCCCTTAAAACGCTGCTTGTTAAGACAGGCACATTTCTGAAATACTTGTTTGAATACCTGAACTCCGAGCCCTTATTTTCCCGGCTGCTTGTCATCCTTCACCTTGGCTCTAATTCTGATCGGAGCCAGAGCATCTGGATGTCTCTCAGGCAGCTGACATTAAAGAAACTTGTCAGAGCGTCTTCTTATCCCTTACTCTTCAGTTCACAGTTCACAGTGCTTGTTAGTGTCACGCATAGCAGTTTCCTGAAATAGGACATTATTTATAAATATCGTTGTTGTTTTAAAATTTAACCTTGTTTTATTTTTTTTAGTTATCCACTTTATTTAAACTGAACAAAAAATTCCTCTCACGTCACACTCCCTGCCCCTGGCAACTACAAATCTGTTCTGTGTATCTAATAGCTTGGTTAATTAATTTATTTATTTTTTACATTCACACACAAGAGCAACCATATCATATTTGTCTTTGTCTGATCCACTTCACTTAAGTGTAATGCCTTCAGGGTCCATCCATGTTGTTCCAAAGGGTAAGATCTCATTCTTTTTTCATGGCTGAATAATATTCCATCGAATGAGTGTGTGTGTGTGTGTGTGTGTGTGTGTGTGTGTGTGTGTGTGTCTGTGTGTGCGCGCGGGCGGTCGTGTACATGCATACCACAACTTCTTTATCCGTTCATCCGTTGATGGGCACGTAGGTTGTTTCCTAGCTGACTATTTGTAAATAACGCTGCAATGAACATGGGGCCGCATGTGTCTTTTTTAGTGAGCATTTTCATGTTCTTTGAATAAATGCCCGGAAGTGCAATTTCTGGATCATGTGGAGGTTCAGTTATTAACTTTTTGAGGAACCTCCGCACTATTTCCTACGGTGGCGGCGCCATGTGCACCCCCGGCCACAGCCCCACGGCTCCCCTTGCTCCGCGTCTCGCCAGCGCTTGTTATTACCTGCCCCGTTGACAGCAGCCATTGTGGCTGGTGGGAGGCGATGTCGCTGTGGTTTTGATTTGCGTTCCCCCAATGACAAGTGATGTGCAGCGTCATTTCATGTACCGGTTGGCCGTCTGTATGTTTTCTTTGGAAAAATCAGATGCTCTGCCCATTTTTAATGAGATTTTTTTTCTCTTGAGTTGTATGATTTCTTTATATACTTTGGCTATTAGCCCCTTATCAGATACATAATTTGCAAATAGTAGGTTGCCTTTTCATCTTGTGGATAGTTTTCTTGGCTTTTTAAAAAATAAATACCACAATCGTTTTGCTTTTAATATTTTTATGTTTAAAATAATGGTATCTTTAAGAATGGAAAGAGAGAGCCTGTCCTACTTGAGCAGGCTGGAGTGGGGTTAGAGGTCATAGGAATGGAGGGCTGGCATTGCGGACCCATCCTCATGTGATTGCTTCAGTCACTGAGCTGGGTTCCTAACCACGGGTGCAGATGGGGACTCCCCCGGGTCCTTGGCTACATATCCCTGAAATAAGGACTAGGACACTTTAATAAGTTCGCCATTTTGGTTGGCTTTGCAAAGTGGATCTACCTGAACGTTAGGAGCAAGTTGGCATTTCACACCAGCTGCTTCGTTGAAGACGACTTCAGAGGTGGTTTAGCCTCACAGAGTTAACGAAACAGTCCGCACGTGGCCCTACCTGAGTTTCCACCATTCACTCCTAAGTGACGGGTGGGCAGTGGAGGCCACCGCCCTGCAGGAACTTTTGACTTTAGACCCACTGGTCGCTCACAGAATGCATCCCAAGTGAAATAGAGGCTGTATTCCGTGGGCCGGAATGAGAGGGAGAAAATCCCTACCCATGTATACTTAACAAACAGAAAAGTAAGACCTTGAAGCTATTACATGTGTTGGACAAGCCACTCTTAGGAAGGAAAGAATTTTTAAAAGTAAAATTTTCGGTGGTGTTTTTATTGCATGGAAAGCCTTAAAAGTTCTGCTTTCAGTAAATCTCTTTTCTTGAGGAAGGGAACGCAGCGGGTGAGGCAGTGTGAAAAGGGTAAAATTTGAATGCCCAACATAATGAGAGGGGCTTCTTTAAATTTTGAGTTATCAGTGTTTTTGTCAGAATGTATTCTGATAACAGATTAAATGCTACCGCACTAAATAAAGGCTTTTGGAGAGAACAGACAAACCAGAAAGCGTTAGAATAATCCTTATTTTCCCCCACAAACTGGGAGAGAGTTCCTAAATCTTCCTAAACATCAACAGTGTTAACTTCTATCAGACCTATGAAAACTTTAAGGTTTCTTTTTTTAAATTATTTTTGTGACAACCTTATATTGAGTAACTGGTAATGATCAGTTATCTGTGGGTCTTTTTTTTTTCTAAAAGTTGAAAGAATTTTTAAGAGATTACTTAGCATATTTAGTTTTTAACTTGAAACATTTAAGATGCTTTTTTCTGAGAATCTAATTTTTTAAAAAATATATTTTATACTTTGGGTAGTTTAGGTTTT